ACCCTACTCTGCCATTACAAACCGCAACCTCTATTATTACGGTGGTCTAGACAAAATGCAACTCCAAACAAGCAAAGGTATAAACTAGAAGGTGACAAATATCCTAAACTACTACAGCAACAAATTAACTTAAACAAATAGGTGATGGGAGGTACCAATTCCCGTGGATAGAACCTGAACTTGTGACTTGCTATACTCCCGATGCTATGGGACCCGACGTCCAGCCCTTGGGAATACCAACGAGCCTGTCTGCTCTATTGCGTTTGCTCGTACACCTCCCAATGGAACCGATGTACTGGTTTGCTCGTACACCAGATCTGTTGTTGGCCCGACTCACCGGAAAACAATATAATAATAATAACAATATATCCAAACAAACATATTTTAAGATACATCATGACTTCTGCACAAGCACAGCAAACAATGTAGGCAGAATATCTTAAGGAGAAGGATGAGGACATATCCATAAAAAGCCAAGATAAGTAGTATACTTGAGTAGTTATCAGAGAAATTACCTCCTCAAACTTGAGGTAAATGTTACAAGCTGAAACGCTAGAAAAATCTGGCAGAAACTATCAGAATAGCGCCTTCATTCTCCTAGACACATGCGACAACAACGAAATTGACCAACTAAATTCAGAAATAAGAGTGAGCTCTAACAGTTGAAATAGCAACAAACTAGTTGAATCCACAATAACTTTCAAAGGTCCGAAAATATGCAACAGAAGAATGAAATCCAAAACCATCTTTAAATCTCCCTTTTTATCATTTTTCTCTTCTTCTTTTTTTGGTTTTTGGTTTATCGGAGTTCTTCTTAATCAGATCTGAAAACCAATTTTCATTGCTGAGTTTTGAATTTTTGTGTATTTTTGTGTGTGTGTGTGTGTGTGTATTTGAGATAAAGAGAGGTCTCTTGGTGTTCTTTCGTTCTTGAAGAAGAAGAAGCGATTTCTGAGATGGTGAGGTTGGGGAAATACGCTGGTTCTATGTGGTCTTGAACAAGAAGATATCCTTTAGGTCTCTATCTCTAGGTCCCTAAAATAGGAAGGTCCAATTTTATTAATGTGTTTGGTCTGTGGAAAAATGAAGAGGAAGTTCAAGGGATTTGGAATGTGAAGGAGCATAATAATGAAAATCTGATGGGAGACTTCCTTTTTATGAAAACAGTGGATCCATCCATAGAGTCTAAGGTCTTATGTGTTGGCTCTAGGTTTTAATGAGAGGGGGGTTCTTGTGCTAGGCGGGTCTGGTCTGGCAGGTTTGGGGGTTGGAGTTTGGTTTGGGCTGGTTGATTAAAAATCAATTGCACCATTTAGAAATTAGCCCAATTTAAAAACAAGAACAAATCAAGACCCTTTATCTCTCTTCCTTGATATTTGCAATGTTAGCCATTTTAGACTCTGATTTAGTTTGATTTAATTTTTTATTTGGCTAGCCTATTCATTTGTTTTTCCTAATGTTGGATTAATGCAAATAATTAATTAATTTACCTAAGAATTCAATTTTTTGATTTTTATTTATTTAAATGATGCACTTAGCAATGTAATTAACTCCTAACTGTAAATTAAACCTAAGATGTCATGAAATTAAAAATATTAAACCTAAGATGTCATGAAATTAAACCTAAGATGTCATAATTAATTTCTATGATTTAAAAATATTAAAAATGCATGAAATGCAACTAAATAAACTAAAAATTTCTAAAAACTAATTAAAATTATTTTTGGTCTATTTTAGGATTTATTTTCATGTAGGGAAAAAATTAGGTGCTCAGAAAGAGAAGTCTGGGAAGAACCTTAATTTGAAAACACTTGAGGTTGATTGACAGTATAGAGTCAAGGATCCTCAAAGAAGACAACCATGGAATGTTGAAATCACTTCAATCATGCAGAGATTTGAACAATACTAATCAGACAAATCCAAAGCCTAAAGCAGCGTAGTGCTAAAATTAGCTAGTAGTAAAGAAGTAAAAGAACCTTAAAGAACAACCATGGGAATTTTAAAATACTTCAGATACACAGAGGTTCGACCAACAAATAACAAGAAAACCAAACCCTAATATAACAAAGTGCTCAAAAATCAGTTAATCAGTAAATAAATAAGGAACCTTAAGGAAAAAAACAATGATAAACTCAAAATCGCTCCAGATCTACAAGGATCCGGAATGACTCAAGTCCAAACATTAGGTTATTGGAGAAAAGAGAAAGTGTAAAGAGAATTTGATCTTTGAATTAGAGATTTGAGCCGTAAAACAACTATAGAAAGCACTCATAGACCATAGATAGATTCTTGGAGAGTTTTGAACAAGATCTGGACTAGATCTCTTCGAGGTCCTTCCAGAAAATCACAAAATCGAGCAACTAGGGGAAGTATGAGGCAAGTAGAAGTCTCATACGGCCATGGAAATCCATGGATCGAATAGGAATCAAATGGATTAGGGCTGGTTTTGGGTGGTGGCGGCTAGAGTTATGGCTGGGTCTCAGAGATACGGAGAGGGTTAGGGATTCTAGGGCGGCTGTTTGGTGAGAATGGTTAGGGTTTTAGGGGTTCGTTTGATTAAAAAGGGTAAGAACTTATGCAGGTCGTTGATCTCCGAGATCAATGGCCAGGATTATGAGGGGTCTGGGTCGGGTTAGGTTTAATTAGGGTTGGGTTTGATTGGTTTAGGCCTGGTCTTAGTGGGTTAGGTCCGAAAATTAGAGAAATTAAAAAGGTTATTTGTTAAATACCCAAATAATTGATAAAAGAATATTTTATAAAATAATTATCAAGAAGAAAAATTAACTTTCATGCATATAAGTGATTTAAAATAATTATTCAATATTTTAAAAATATAATGGACCAAATTTTGGTAAAGTAATGTAGTGATGTATGCATGGGCTATGATTGCAAAATAATTGCAATTGTACTTAAAAGGTGTAAATCTGGCCATACGTGAAATAATTTGAACTTAATATGGCTATAAATAGAAAAATTAAATAAATAAAATGTTATAGAGCCATTTGTGATGCAAGTTTGTAATTATTTATGCAAATAAAATACTAGAATAAATTAATTTAAAAATATATAAATTATGGAAAAATATCCATTGATGCTAGTGCATAGTTTTGAAGGTATATATGTACTTTAATATTATAGGGAAAAATTGGGTATGAACAAATGCTTATCATGGTTTCTTGGACCTCTTCCGAACTACCCAAATTAATTGGCTCGGTTTGATTTATGTTTGGCTTACGCTTATTCTCAAATAGTTCCAGTTCTTGGTTTATTTTCCTAAAAGCCTCATCTTCATCATATTCTGGTTCTTGATTCAATATTTCACAGTTAGACATCGTATTAAGATATGGTCATGAAGTTCACAAGCATGTCAAGTTATTTAAGTCCGCATTATTAGAGATGAAAAGAGAGATAAAAATAACAAAAAAAATATAAAGAGAAAATGGAGAGAGAATCATAGGTGATTAAATATTGATTTCATTTCATTGAATTTGAAGATATGAGGATTTACATTGGAATTTTAAAAGACAATATACTAAAAACATTTGATTTACACTCTGAAATTACTCGGAATGCAGAAAAGATAGTAAGACTTAACTACCGGGATTCCTGCTTGACTGGGAACGGAGTAGCCTTCCAATTTTGAAGCTTGGCATTTGCCCCATATATTTCACCTCAACAGTGCTTGAGCCTTCCCCCGACTGGACCATATGAGCCTCATATAACATTAGCCTCATTGCTCCACAGATGTCTTCAATTTCTTCGGCCGTGAAGGCCTCTACTTCTTATATGTATCATTAGCCCATTTTACATCGGCATCTGTAGCTCAGAAACCTACGCCAAAGAGCTTCTCGCTGGCAATCAAAGTGATTGGCTCTATAATGCCTTGCAAATATACCCCGAGCCCTTTCCCGGGCTTGTACCCGCGTTTGATCATTTGATTAGAGACCATGATTGACGCGCTTGGAAATAACGGTTGAGGACATGGGGTTCCTTGCTCACACTGTTCCGCGACCATGATCTCAAAAGCTTGGTAGATTATGTGCTCCCTACCTTCCTTAGCTCCCAAACATGGGACTAACGGGTCCCTGTAGATTGATTGCTCATCTTCTCTGTGGACCATGATTTCTTGGTTTCAATGTTCAAACTTAACAATTTGGTGTAGAGTAGAGGGTATGACTCCTGCATGATGGATCCATGGCCTTCCTAGGAGAATATTGTAGGAGGGGTCCATGTCCAGAACCTGGAATGTTACTTCAAAATCCACAGGGCCAATAGTTAGGATCAAATCAATCCCCCCTATCGTATCCCTCTTGATGCCGTCAAAAGCACGTACGCAGATATTTTTGGGTCTAATCCTTTCAGTCCCAACTTCCATCCTCTATAATGTTGATATATGGCAATGGTCGACCCCAAACCCGCCGTCCAACATAACTCTTTTCATGTGATATCCTTCACACTTAACGGTCAAACGAAGAGCTTTGTTGTGGCCAGCCCCTTCTAAAGGCAAGTCATTTCGACTGAATGAAATCCGGTCGACTTCAAAAAATCGTTCTGCCATTCATTCCAATTGTTCAACTGTGGTCTTGACCGGAACATATGCCTCATTAAGTGTCTTTAGCAACACTTTTTGATGCTCATTCGAGCTTATCAATAGGGAAAAAAGTTAAACCTGAGAGGGGGACATCGTGAGTTGATCAATCCCAGCGTAGTTTGAGATTTTCATCTTTCGGATGAATTCTTTGCCTCTTCAACACTGACTGGCTTTTAAGCAGAAAACGCTTCTGTATGGTCTTGTTCAATTCTTCCAAGTTTAAGTACTTCCCATATGGGTTCATTTCATTCACATCCCCCATGATTTCCTTTCCCTTGTACGT